TTGTGTAGAACTCAAAACATCCTTAAGATTAATAGATTAACTTTTTCTCTAATAACCAAGGCCTGGAAACATTGAGTTATTCAGAGTTGAGATAACTTTGTCCTTTTTATTTGAGAGTGTATAAATTTTAAGTGAAACGAACGAACGAAAATCAAACGAGACATTCTAAAAAGAGAAATCTTCGGTGACACTTTTTTATAAGAACAATTTTATAAGAACACGAGCCTCAAAATTGGTCAAAAGTTAAGAACAAAGTAAAAACAAGCTGAGGCCGAGCTACTGTAAAATGGAATTTTCAACAACGTTTATTCTCAAAAACGAGGTTTTTTAGGTATGTGTGGGTAAATATTCAAACTTGTCGGCAAATGAAGGTTGTTGTGTTAGAGCGAAAAAGTTAGCAATTGCACTGCATACACCCAATTAATTTACAAACAAACTACTAGCTCTTATAAAAAAAGAGTGTAAATATATTAGAGAAATTTTTTTTGATTAATGGCAAAATGGACATTGCTAAAAGTTGCCCTTTAGTTATCACTGGCAATTGATGCAACAGTATAAATGATTGTAAGGCTAGATCAAGACGGGAAAGAAGCACAAATGGAGACCAAAAGCTGTTGCGATAACGGAAAGAAACAGGCTCGATGATGTTTTAAGCCCATAAAACAACGTCGAAAAACTCAAACATGAACTAACACAAGTCACCGTACAAATTGGTAAAAGAATCAAATATTTTATGGGTACCAGAGCCTTAGTGCAAGCCCGAGGTCGAGTCGTGGAACTCCTTTAAATGAGAGGGGAATCAATTATTTTACGACATTTTACTGTTTGGCTCATCTCCACTCTACGAATGCTGGACTCTACTCCTTTTTCTGTATTAGTATTTCTTACCGAACAAAAATACCATAATTAATACCCATGTTATGCCCCTAATAAATTTGTAAATCATTGGCTAAACTCCTAATAGAACAATTTTAAAAGAACACGCGTCTCAAAATTAGTCAAAAGTTAAGACAAATTAAGAACAAGCTCAGGCTGAGCTGCTGTAAAATGGCGATTTTAAACAACGATTTATCCCAAAAAGAGGATTTTTAGCCATGTGTGGGTGCTTTTTTGGTGAATATTCAAACTTGTCGGCAAATGAAGGTTGCTCCCCTAACTATAGCAATGCGACGAGAAACTTTACCAGATCATCTTTTTCTAGACCAGTTTTTAGGCAGAATTCGAAACCGAATGTTGATTAGGTGGGAGAGGTTGATTTTTTCCGTGATACAAGGGGTTTTGTCCAAAACTGGGACGCAGCTTCTGAATGTGCTGTCAATGATCACCTGAGGAGGAACTTTACCAAACCAACTTTTTCCAGACTAGTGTTTAGTGCAGAATTAAAACCTAAATGTTGATCAGGTGAGAGATTGTGCTTTTCCGAGATACGGGGGGGGGGGGGGGCTTCGTCCAAAAACTGGAATAACGCCTCTGAATTTCCTATGAGTACATCAAGTTGTATTTCTAATCCATGTTTAGCAAAAATATCATATCCAGTCGACTTAGAGTAGCACAGCTACCAGCATTGGGGCAATTGCCTTAGGGAGATGGATGAAATGTAGCGTCATTTTGGTTGGAAAAAGAAATTAGTTAAATCAGCTTGATCTGTGATTTATCTCATAACGTTCTAACCTGAAGCCATAACAGAGATAATAAATTAGCTTCTATTGTACATATTATAAATTCAAGATCACAAGCTGCCATGCCGCTAAAATTCTTCACCGTCTGCACTGTCACTGAATTGTTCAGTGTCCGTATCATCTTCATCATCTACATTTTCTTGACAAGTATCTGACTGAATCAATAGTTCTTCTTTTATTTCTGAATATGGCTCTTCTATCTGGTCCCTAAAGGCTCCCAATGTAGATGGAGCGTTGGATGTGTTTCCTAATGTTGAAACTGCAGTTTTCTTGTCTCTTGAAATTTCCTTTGAAAAAGCTTTCCTCTTGCATCATTCACAGCATTAATTCGTTTACCCAACACATCCAACAATTTTACTTCTCAAAATCTTTGAAACAATTGGCATTCGTCTCCTTGTGCCTCTGGACTAAAAGCGATGGTGGAGGAAAGCTCATTTGTTCTTAATTGAGGGATTTTGCGAATTTTTGACCCGCTGGGCGCATATATTAAGTAAATCAACCGCCGACATTAGGAGCAGCAATGCAACCCCCCCCCTCCCCCACAATATATTTTCGTTCCAATGACACTGTCATACTTATTTCAAGTCCCTCTTCATCCTTTCATAAGTCACCTTTTATTACGCTAAAATCACGTGGTCAACAGAACTATGGCTACATGTCATGAATAAAGATAAGTGAATAGGATACGGCTTTAAAACAGTTTGAAATTTAGGTTTTTATGAGCCGTGCAGCTATTTCTAAAGAGGTAGTTAAAGAAGTAGTGAAGCAGTACTCTAAACTCAAATTTCTGAGCTATATAGCAATTGGCCACTTCTAGTATTAACTTTATCGAAAAATTTGCCCCAAAATTTGCCGTAAAGTCTAAAAACGATTATCGACGAAGCACTCCAACATTTCGCAAAAACCCTCGTTTTTGGAACGGAATTTTTTCCGCGGAGGTATCACGCCCTCAACGCCCCACCCTTGTGACGGCCCTAGCTCACTTTTAAATAATCAATCGAAAACCTTGAAAAGAATACTTTTATATTTCTTATAGAACTTTTTCTGGCTTCTTTCTAGAAATAGTGGCCTTTATCAAATCCTTGCCACACCCGTTACAAATAAAATTTTCATTTTTTACACCCCATTTGTCAAAGAGCTCTAGTTAAGTTTCTGGAACTCAGACCCGTCGCTATAGAGGGGCGTGTGGGGTGTGACATGCCATTTGAAAAAAAATTCCATTGCAAAAGCGAGGAGTTTTTATCATCTAAGGATGCTTAGTCGGCAAATATCCAAACTTGTCGGCAAATAAAGGGTGGCTCACCCACTTTGTCAGCAAATGGGACCTCCAAAATTATCTTGTAAACGCAGCAGATTGCATTTCTACCGAAGAAGGTGGCTCGAGACAATCGTTATTCGAGATAGCCGGTGTAATATGCGTTTTGGTACCCTATGCAAAAGTGTAACATTGTGAAACGCAATGTGTTTCAAATCATGTGATTTCATCATAGTGCGATATTATGACAAGTTATAATTAACAAATTGAACACAATGCTTTTTGAGTTTAAAATTTCACACTTTTCAATCAAGAAAACTTTGGAGTCGCCATTAATGTTGTACTTTTTTGCATAAACTTAACAAGGGAAATCACAGAACCGTTTCTTGTTTTCTGGACAATATGAACCAGAACATTTGTGTTCCCAGACCGGTTCGCATGCTAAACTCCGCCATTTGTTTCTGTTCCCTGTTTTTTAAAAGCTTGGGTACGTTTTTGTATAAGCAAAATTGCCATGCGTTTTTGTGCTTGGACCGTTTTGCATGCTAAATTCCACCATTCGTTTTGGTACTCTATTGTTTAAGTGCTTGGGTACGATAATGCATAACCAAAATTGCCATGCGTTTGAGTACCTGTACCGAAATGCATAAGGTTACCGAAACGCATATGACACCGGCATTCGAGATTAGTGCTACATATCATGATTGATATTTTAGGAAAACAATCTTTATTGATTGGGACAAAATCGGGGATAAAAGAACTGACAGACTTCTGGTTGCTATATCTTATAATTGATGGACTTTAGTGCTTTAGATGACCTGTTTTTGAATAGGAACCGTGGCGGAAATTCAGGCTTCCACTTTTCTGCCCAGTTCCATTGTTTCTTTAGTGGGAAATATGTTTGAAAATAAGTTTTGTTTGGAAGAATTCAATTGAAAGTTTGGCTAATCTTTAATGAATTTAAATTAGATATACAATTTACAAGGAGCTTTGATGTTATCATATATGATTATGATTTGTTTGATCATTTAGTACTGGTTAATATTGCATTAGGTATATTCAAGGGCACAGAAAAATTATAGAGGTCACCGAGGTTAAACGAAAAACGGAGATCTCATCCGAGCGAAACGAGCAGCAAATTTTGGCAAACACACCCTTTAGATTTGTTTGAAATAATTTTCAGCTTAAAATGATTTCTTCAAGTCATTATCTTTCGTTTAAAATAGCCTAGTGAATGCGTCTTCTTAACATGCTAGTTTCAATCATCACTACCGAGTTTTACAAAAGAAACAAAACATGAGTATGGCCATATTTTGCACCAAGCATAATACATTTTTTCAATTGAAATGATTGTGGCATCAAAAAATGCAACAAATATGAATCTTTCTTATCGAATATAGTTCGATTGTCTCCACAAAGTAATCCTGGGCCACTTTGACATTTAACTCTTGTCAAAACAATGAGAAATAAGCGAGAAAAGACATGGTAAAGATTTTGTACTCGTTTGATGACGCCATTTTCACAATAATTTAAGAGATCATATCTTTTGACAGGTTCATTTTACAACATAGGTTTTTTACTATCTCTTGTTCGCTTTTGAATGTTCTTTCGAACGATACCATTGTTTTTAAGATTAGATGAAAAAAAATTTGGCGCTCAGGCCCACGATTTTCCAACAAGATAACATCTTGTGTCATATATATTTTTAAGAAAAATTTATCACTGTACATTGGCAAGTTGCACTGATTGGGGAGCATCAACAGTCACGTGCTTGCTTTTCTAATTGGCCTTTTTCGATCCACACTTGGGTATATATATTTCCTAGCGTAGAGTTTTCTATGTTTTGACGTTTTATACTCTGAAGAGTGTCAAACGAAAAACTTTAGCAACATGTTTCAGAATGCTTGTTTTTTCAAAGCTATTTTTAAAATTTTTACCACGAAAATATTGTTTAGAAACGAGAACAAGGACTAGTGGAAAGCCTCCAACCCCACCCCCTCCCCTCTCCCCCCTCCCCCCATTAAGCTACAGTAAGAAATTGAACTAACAATCATTTATCTCGACAGGAAAATCAATTTCTTACCTCAGAAGATCAAATTAAGATCATAAAAGAAGAAGAGCTGGATTACTGTCTGGGTTCAACTCAAGACACTGATGAGGACAGCGAATTACCAAAATCGATGGTTGATCTTATTCTTGAAAGAAATGAAAACCTTACAGACATGAGTCCCGATTGGAAAAAGGACAGTATGCAGGACTTCTTGAAATATCTAACAGATAGCGGTATTGAGCCAGACGGGAATAAAACTGAGCTTGAAGAAAATATGACTCAGTCTACTGCAGAAACATCAACAGACCTAGGACTTCAATTAAATGGTGATGAACTTGATCGTGAAGAAGAAGATGATAATGATTATGATAACGAGGATGATGAAGAAGATTGCAATTATAAAGATACCGATGATGATGAAAAGAAAAGTAATTTGAGATGGTTTCGTAATGAACGATCACCAAATATTGGCTTGCATCCCAGCATGCAAGAATCAAATAAAGATGACGAAGTTTCAGTAGAAGACACAGATCCGGAACCCACTCTAATTCGCCAATCAACAACGAGGACTCGCAACAAAAGATCAAGAGGTGGGAGGCAAGTACCTGGTAAGTAATTGCATTTTGCCATAAGGAAACTGTCGTTTTCAATACTGAGGTCATTTATTCTTATCCAATCAGAAAGATTTTACCGTCCCTTTGGCTCATCCGCTACAGGTTTTTCGAGTTCATTCAACGCTATCAACGAATTAGTCCCATTAGCAAAGTTATTCGGTTTTGGAAATTCTAGTCTTCCTTCAATAGCGCCTCGAAGTACATAGTTTGAAGAGAAGGGTTCCTGAGCATGAGCCTTGCGGTACGCCGCAGGTAATTTGTCTGGTCAACATGCATCGATTTGAGACTACTTCATATTCCTGCCATTTTCATTTATTTCCTATTCTTCTTTCATGGCTTTGTACATCTTATCATCTTCTTATCAAAATTCATACCATTCTTGTTTGCAGCAGCAAGTACTCTAGTACATCTAATTGATGTTTTAAGAATCAGATTAGTTCAATGAACTATCAAAATATAAGTATAGATGAGTCAGACGACATCAGAGCTTAGGTCGAATCGAATGATTTTGTAGTTGAATGATTCCACTTACCGGAATTTTCAACTTATTCGAGGCAGAGGCGGACTTGCAGCAAATCTCTCGGGTTGCTATATACAGAAAAGGGGCCCGTACTACGTAAAATGTAAGCAACAAGGGGGGTTGGAAAGGAAAGGGCTGGGTAAAAATTATCATAAGTGGGCCCACTCTTGTAAACGATATCTCCAATCACAAACCCAAGTCACCAAAAATGATATGTACCTGGAAACCATGCACCTGTGAAATATAAAAGAGATCCCAGTTTTTATCATTTTGAAAGGTTCATCTGCTAGATTTGTTGGGGTGCAGTGCCCTTTGTTCTAACCATAGATACTTTGAGACTGCAAAAATTGAGGAACAAATCCAATGCTGTAGTGCAGTTGATACTAACAAAAATACAATAGAAGACATAAATGCACTGCGAGCGAAGCGAGCAGAAATTTTTTTCGGCCACGCCCTTTAAATTAGCTTGAAACACGATTCAGAATGCCTTTAACAGTCGTTTACCTCGCTTTACAAATTTTTAGACATACTTTGTTGCGCTTCGTTAAAATTCAATTCTTAACTTGGAATTCCTTGCTTTAAAAGGACCCCTAGACCTCGAGGCCCTGGGAAAGTTTGCCCCTCCTTGTCCCCCTCTCGGAAGCCCTGTTCATATTCCACGCATCTCTTTCACAGTTGCCTGTTTGTAAATGTTGACCTCCTCTAATTCTGAACTGTGAACTTGAGTATACATGTAAGTGAGGCGTTTTCTCACCAAAGATTTTGTTCATATTAGATATTTTCCTGGGGTTTACAAACTCACTGGAAAGGTGGCCACCGAGAAATTTCCCCGTGTCCCGCCTAGCCACAACGCCCCTGGTAAGCAATACTGAAATGTTTTCTTCCTAAGGATTTTATCTTCATTTCTATGACTTGTATTCTCTTGAACATAGATATCTTTGAAATTAACAGAGATATTTTCTCGAATGTATATACGGAGGGCCCGGTTATTATAAAGTTGAGAAGGCCCGGGTTGCGATCGCAACCTAGCATCCCTGCCAGTCCGCCACTGATTCGAGGTACGGTTTTTGACTTGAATAAGGTAGGAAGTAGGAATACCAAATAAGGATTGAAAATCAGTCCATCTTTGTGATTGTCCGAGTTAACGGGGGTACGACGTATCGAGATTCAACTATATCTCATAAACAGGCTGACAGTTGCTTCTACAACATTTTCTACGATATTACTAACGATCCTTTGTTAACCGGTCTGCAGGGACGGATTTAAGCAAAAATGATTAGGGATGGGGCTGTTAGACACTAACGAATTTTGTTACCACACTCTTTAGATCACTAGACAATGATGGAAACGTTCATTTTCAAAATTCGGCTTTTGACTTTTAAGAGAGGGATGTAGTCGTAAAAGTTTAACAAGGGGAGCACTATGAAATGTCTAAATTGACTTTATCATGTACTCCTTGCAGTTTGAACATGACAAAGATTGATGTTTTTCCGATCATTAGTTGAGCAAGCAGCTGCGATCAGAGCCTTGGAACCATGAGATGGGCCGGGGGAGAACTTCATTAAAAGGAAGGGGGCAAAATGCTTATTTTGCTCATAGGTTTAGTGAAAGCCGTCACAATGATTGACGGCGAGAAAAATTTCGAGAAATGTCATTTTAAGGAATTCCAGAAAATGCATCTAAAATATTTACAACATCGATGAGGAAGATGCTAAGCAGTATTTGGAAGCTTTCTTTTTATCAATTGTGATCCATCGGTTGGATTTTGAATTGACACATTTTCTCTCATGTTAACAAAATAGAGCAGATTATCAAGTAATGAACCATGCTACTAAAATTGTCATGCAGAATTGTCATTCAGTGGACTTCGAAAGAATTCATAGTTTGCAGATATAGAAAATCAATTTTGAAATAAAACAAATTCAAAAACATCCGCGCCTAAAATTATCCGAAAATAAGAACATCGAGCGTCGACAAAAATTGTATTTTTCTTAAAAAAAGAGTGTAGTGCAGTGCATCAAATAATAAAAGTAGGAAAGACAGAATCAAAAAAAGCAAACGGTTGCTGATTCAGATATTAAACCCTATTTCTAAATGCAATAATAAAAAACTAACCATCTATACAAAACTGCAACTAAACGTACTCAGTAAAAAATCTTTCAAGAATTCTATCTATTTATGATGTCACAGTTTGTCTACATTTTCATGCATGCTTGCATGCGTTGGCCGGTGCAACAATTCTTCACAGCTTTCTTCGCGTTAGCGCAAAAAATAAGGGGGCTGAGCCCCCCCCCTTTTCGAAGATTTTAACAAGGTGGCTGCGCCCCCTAAGCCCATAAATCACTACATCCCTGCTCTCAGTAAAATAAAGTAAAATTATGGCGTTATTTTGTTACTGCTGACTGCCAAAAATGATTTTGCCGAATTGAAGCAACATTTAGCGAAGGACACAGAAATATTGGGGGGTGTCGCACCCCTTACACCCCCGCTAAATCCGTCCCTACCGGTCCGTTTCACGCCTGTTTCGCCGGTTTTTGCCGCCGGCTGTCTGTCAGTTGTGAATGAAAGAAAAACTAAATGCAAGTTGGATTAAACCCAATTAACAGAAATAAGCGAATATCGCTAAAGGTCTTCAGTAAATCAAGGTGGGGCTACAAAATCAAGGCGAGGCTACAAAACCTGCAAAAACCTAAATTGGAAAATTGGAAGATTCTTTAAGCAATTCTGTTTTCCAGATAAAACCGCCTTAACATCGTCACAAGATAAGAAGCAATCATCAAACTCTAATCAATCTTCACTCAGTTCATAGTGATTTGTTACTAATTCTTGATTGTTTACCATAGCAGAATATGGTTAACAATACCCTACAAGAAACTGAGGCCCTGTTCACACGGGAATGCAATCGTTCCGTTCCATTTTTGTTCCAGTTTCTGGAACGGAAAAGTATACTGTTCACACGGTAACGGAACGATTGCGTAACGATTTTTGCTGATGTTCAGACGGGAACGCAATCGTTCCGTTCCAGACGGGAACGCAATCGTTCCGTTCCATTTTTATTTCAGTTTCTGGAACGGAAAAGTATACTGTTCACACGGTAACGGAACGATTGCGTAACGATTTTTGCTTATGTTCAGACGGGAACGCAATCGTTCCGTTCCATTTTTATTCCAGTTTCTGGAACGGAAAAGTAAACTGCTCACACGGTAACGGAACGATTGCGTATCGATTTTTGCTCATGTTCAGACGGGAACGCAATCGTTCCGTTCTGCAATTTGCGCGCCAAAATAAGCAAATTATTTTTAATGCGCATGTCCATAGTGGAGATAGATTTCATCATTTCGATTTATCTCTGAGCTGATTTCTTGGGTTTTTAAATAATTTGAAACGAGCAAGCACCCCGAAACGAGCAAGCTCGTGGGAAAGTGGACTTTCCCACACTAAAAGCATATGCTACTTTTCTGAAGCGGCCTTCATCAGCTAAATAGTAGAGTATTATTGCCACTTGTGCTTCCACAGAAATAGGCTCTCTCATTACTGTAGTTGTCTTTTCAAGGAAAGGTCTAAGCTCCTCAGTTGATGTCATAAAAGTGTCCCTTTTCATCCTAAAGTTTTCCCGCCACTCATTTGCAACGACTTTCCCATTTAAAAAGTTTTTCCACCAAATCTTACTTCGGTCAGGTCTTTCCCACAAGCTTCGCCGACCTCTTCTGTTTTTTGTAGCAAGAAGAAATGTTTGACCAGTTAAAACACCAAGTCTTTTTTCCTTTTTATCATATTTAGAAGTAGATTTCTTCTCCGTCTATATGTAAGCTTTGTAAAAGAAATTATCACCATGTTGAGCTTCAGTAATGCCGTGAGTGAAGCAAGTGAAACTCCAAGAAACCCAATGGTGTTTTTGAATTCCTCCATTTTCTTCGCTGTGTTTATTATTTTCACATCTTGCTTCCCACAACAACAACACAGACGCATGCGCCAAGGGCAAAACTCTTATCGTTCCATTTTTTGGACCAGTTCTGCGAGTTCGTGCGGGAACGGAACGGAACGATTGCGTACCGTTCCACTTTTCGTATCACTTATTTTATCGTTTCACTTTCTCGAACGATGTCGTTTGAAGCGTACCCGTGTGAACACAACCCCTGATCGTTACGCTTTTCGGAACGGAGAAGAACGGAACGGAACGGAACGGAACGGAACGGAACGGAACGGAACGGAACGGAACGGAACGGAACGGAACGGAACGGAACGGAACGATTGCGTTCCCGTGCGAACGGGGCCTGAGTCTATATATGAAAATATTCGATATAACGGTAGACCTCGAATGATCGCCTACGGCGTTAATCTGTTCGGTGTTTATTCAAGAACCGGTCTTAATTATAGTAATACGGTACTCAAAGTCTTGAAAAGGTATGTATTTAAAAAAAATTATGTTACCTCGTTTTTTGAGCCAAATAGCTGCCTTGAATTGCCTTTAATCTTGTGCAGTTTTGCTTGCAATTTCTTGTTCATTTCTTTAAGCAAAAATCCGTTTGGAAGATTTTTTGCGGGATCTCCTGGAAAAAAGATTGCATGTGATTTATTTACACTGGATATGTGCAGAGAGAAAAGAGTTCACAATTGCAAATCGAAGACAAGTGGCCAATTTGTGGGGAATACAAAAGAAGAAAAAGATGTTTACTGCTGATAAACTGCAAAGGGAAATCAGAAATCTTCTTAGTGCCAGGAAACTTGAAAGAATGGGCAGAAAAGATCACTTCCGTTTTCTTACGTAACGCTGTACGTCTTAAAAGGGTTCAAAACGTACAATCCGGATAGGTATCATTTTTAGCTGTATGTCATATTGGAGGAGAGCGTTCCCTGACCCTAGGCGACCTGTGATTCGTTGATACAGTCAAAAAAACTCTTTGACGTGTATGACACAAGGTCAATAGTGTTTTCCTATCCTATTCTTAGTTTTGCATTAAAGGATTTCATATAGGTAGCTTAAGCCATAATCTATCCTTCAGCATGTCTGAAGCATTAGAAAACCCTCTATCACAAGTCCAAATCAGACATGTTACAAATCAAGTCATATGCTCGTGTTTTGAAAGTAATACTTAAAAACTCAAGAGTAAAATTTTATTCGGCCGTTCTAAAAAGGAATTGACCAACCCATGACCAACAGGAGAGCTTTTTGGTTAGGCGTTTTTAAAGTTACAAAATACATTGGTAGAGATAACGTCAATAACTCTGAATTTTCAATAGGACTAGATAAACCTTGGACCTACTACCGTTGAGCAGTTTGAGCAGTCCTCAAAACGATTTTAGACCTTTTATTTGAACAATAAAAACTTGTCCATATAACAGAGCATCGAAAAAATATAAGGTTTTCATGCTTTCACAAATGCAGCCTCAAAGTGCCAGGGCAGCCTCGAAGTGCCAGGGCAGCCTCGAAGTGCTAGTACAAGGCAAAGTACAATGGCCTTTTTAAAGGGTTCTGGTAAGCAATAAGGGGCAAACATTTGTTTTTAAATGAAAGGATAACATTCTATTATCCAAAACAAAGAGGCTTGATGGGCCTTCCAATTCCTAGACAGCTTATTATAAAAATATTTTTCAACAAATGTTAAAAACGCTAACAGTCACCCTCTTAATGTATCTTCTGCTCGCCCTAGGCTCTTCCTAATTCGGGGCGCGCTCTTTGAGAGTTTAGAGGAAAAGAACCAAAGGACTTTCGTGTACAGCTTTTTTATAATGGAGACTTAAGTTTAATAATCTTTTGGTGGTACAAAACTTGGAAATGGCTTTGAAAAAAGCAAACATTTGAGTATACTGAAGCTTTTCGTCTGACACTCTTCAGGGTTTAAAACGTACGATCGTCGTTCCATCTAGCCGTTTTGAATCTATCTACATAAACACGAAAAAACGCTTTTGTGAAGACAGAAGGAGTTAGTTTTCACCTTAAGACTCCATTGGTAACATTCTCAATAGGCAAGCGGCACTGATTGGGCAGCCTCAACAGTCATGTGCTCGCGTTTCTGAATGGCCTATTTCGATCCACAACTGGGTATATATATTTCTTAGCGTAGAGTTTTCGGTCTATGTTAGTGTCAGACGAAAAGCTTTAGTTTACTTGAATGTTTGCTTTTTTCAAAGCCATTTTCAAGACTTAAGTTTTGGGCTGTTAGGCAGTTGCTTGAATTTTCGGGCCATTTTCCTACTTAATGTTTCTTTTTTGTTTCTTCGGTTTTTTAAGATCAACATCCAGCAATGATAACTTCCATGAAAAGTTGAAGTCAAAACAGGTTTTTCAAAAGGTAACGAGAATGGGTGTAATCCGCACATAGGGGGTGAGGGGGGGGGGGGTCTTGTTCGCAAGAGATCTTCTATTTTGTGATTTAGTTGTAATTAAGTACAAAAATAATTGAAATGTATGTAAATAATTTGCAAAGCTTTATTTGTAAATAAATGAGTTTCATTGAAAACGTAGTGCTTAATTTTTCATGGTACAATTACTTCAAATTTGGTTTACCTCCAATTAAGCACTTCTCAGTATTCCATACTTCTAGTTGTTCACAGCCACTCTACCAATGCAATAAATGCCCTGTAGACCACAACATGTAATTATTAATAGACTAAAACAGAGCTTAAAAGTTTGCCTTGTTTATTTAATATGCTTGAAATTGTCATATTTACGATTTTTTGGCTTTGACATGGGGCTGAAGTGTAAAAAATTTCGATAAACTTCTTAGTGTGTTTTTCGTGTTCCTTATGACAATAATAACGACATTAGATGAAATTGAGGATGCAGCAAGGTCGAAAAAATAGAAAGGGAAATGCATAACCCATTTCGTTACAAATCATTTTGAACATTTGGTTTCAAAGATCAATTATCCCTAAGCACGACAGTCAAATAAAAAAACTTTTAAATGGTGTCACAATTTCTTCAAGAGTGCAGGAAGATTGTAGCGGTTCAACAAATGCGCTTGGAGTATAATAAAAGGGGTCGAACCAAATGCTTGTACTTCGCGGGTACTCCCGCAGATAGCGAGAAATTGTTTCATTTCCAGTACCATTAAAAAAGTACTGATGCTTAAGCTGGTAAATCTGATTTGTAGATTTTACAATTAGCGATTAGAAACCAAAGTACGCAAGCAACTGTAGTTTAACCATAAAACACTTTCTTATAGTGATAAAGTTTATGAAGTCTATAAATCAAAAATTTTTAAAATGTTAATTCATTCATATATCTACATCTTAAGATGGCTCAAAAATACTTTTATCAAAGAACGAATTGAGAATAATAGCCAAGCTCAAGCTGAATCAAACGTATTCATCAAAATTTATCAGACTTTTTAGAAAATTTGTTTAACTATAGCAATGTACAAATTTGCAATAATGTAGCAAGGCAGTAAAATCTTTCAGTTCGGATGATTCTAAGCTTTAAGGGGAGTTCGTGCTTTCATCCCTTTTTTCTTCTCCTTGGCCAACTTACCAATGACATCATTAAAGAATAATTTAATTATACCATTTAGACTTCAAATTGAATCTTTTTATAAATATTGAGGTTTGACAAAAGAGTCTTATCAAACTTGTTCGCAATAGTATTTATTGAGAAGCACTGTTAATATAAATTTTAAACAAGAATTAAGAAGAAAGGAAATGATAGAAACCAAAATTGAACTTTTTCTGTAAATGGCTGATGATATGTTCTCAGTCTGTCCCCAATTGTTCTAAGAGTTTCTTTTCATGGCCAAGATATTCATGCATCATTGGTTTGATGGACAGGACAAATAACCAATCAGAATGAAGAACCACCATAGCGTACTCTCCCTGAGTAAGTTGCTGGGAATTTTGTTTTGATGTTAAACGTCTAAGGCAGATTCGATATTATGAAGATCATGCATTGTCTTTATATCCACTAAAAGATTACAATACAGATTACTATACAACAATACGATACTACTTTGACAATATCTCGGTGAGCAGAATTCTATGACTACCCCGGGGCCTATTGCACACAAAGATCAAAATCAAAAACGTAGATGTTAAATACACAGCCTAAAAGAAAAGCAAAATAAATACAGAGATTTTACCTAAATGGGACATTGTGGTTATATCTCTTTGGTTTATTTGGCATAATGGCATTATTGGCATTATGTAAGGATTTTTTTGGTCGTGTTCACCCACAAGAACTTATGTCGGATAATAAAAAAGCAGAGAAAGAGCCTCTTTTAAGGTGAGGCTTTCAAGCTAGAATTAGCCAATCACGGAGGGGAAGAACTGCCGTTAAAGGCACTAACTATGACACGCAATGCATTGTGGTAGTTGTAGGAACAGGTGCCTTATTCCATGATATTTGGTTGTTTACGTTTTCCATGATATTCACCAGTCAACCTTCAGTTCTTCACATTCGCTTTCGAAAAGAGAAAAATATCAAGGATACTGAATTAATTTTTCAAGAAGACGGTCTATTGAGAAATCTTATAGAGCGCATTTTGAGAAGTAGTAATAGCCTTTTGTATATGTAAACCAAAGAGAATTATAGTGACCTTCGAAAGTTATTGGGTTGTACCTTTACACGCTTTTTTATAAGGAACCACTTTATAAGGAACCTAGAAGGGCGAAATATTTAAAGAACTTATACTACTTCCTAAAGGAATTATACTAATAAAACGAAATCCCTAAGGAACTTTTCGCTTTGAAATATTTTCATAACTGCAAGCATCAAGAACTAAAAAGCCGGTTCCATTCATTTGCAGCCAATACTCGCATAGATTGTTTGTTATTCGTGTGTCTAGTGCTTCATTGAGAAGTTTCCGCATATGCTGTCTCGCCCCTCTCTCAATTAAGTGTTAAGGCTTATTGTAGTGAAAACAAAATAAGGGACTATTGAGGAACCTTTAGTACTACAATTTGATGATTTTAGGTCTACGAATAAGAAACTTTTGTGACTAGGTCCTGAGGTAGGTTACTTATAAAAAAGAGCATGTGATCCAAACTCATCCCCTCTCCCTTAATTTCCATAAAACTTTTATGACCTGTTTATAGGATCCTGTATAGACAGTGTCAAGAACTCAGAAATTAGGCTGAGAATATTCTCTTAAAACACTCCAATATGTCTATCAAGCTTGAAATTTCATTACTACGCTTGCAAAAACAGTCATGCAAAGGTTACTTGCAAACTAGAAGATCAAAAAATGTCGTTGGTCTCACTTGCTCTTGCTGGGATATGGACCTCATTTTGAGTCCAATTAATTGTATTTTAGGGTACAGGTGATCAATTAATGAATTATTTCCGGGGGCTGTATAGTGTCACCATCATTAAATAATTGCAACAAACAATGGCGTCAAACTTAAGGATTAATATATAACATTATTCCGGTTAATAGCTTTATGAATATTTTAATGTCACATGGAATAATATGTAGATTTTATTGACAAATTTTTCATTGTCTTAACTTTATTCCTTCATAATGAGCAATTAGTCTAAAGAGCAATGTTCCAACACAAGTCAGCTGAAATCGTTTCCGTACAATTTTTACGGCCACCAATTGCTAGCCTGTGTCCCAGCCCCCTAACTTTTAAGTTAGGGGTCTGGGACACAGGCCACCAATTGCTGAACCCTCATCAGGGTGATGCAAATTTAATTCATCAATCAATACCCTACGCTCTTAACTCCCTGTTATTTAGGGAGGGGGTTATTAGTTGGGTCAGTATTATCTTTGCAAGATTTAAACACAAACTCGACCCTGTTTTTTATTTCAACAAAAGTGTTGCTTTTGTTGAAATTCTAAAAAAACTACAAGCACGTTCTGCAAGTTGGTTGTATTGACTTGTTAAACTGGCGATGCCAACACTATGCATTCCCATTTTGCTACCATAAAATCTTTCTATCGCAAAGAATCGAGGATAGTGACTGATTTTTTCGAAAATGACTTTATTTTCCACCGACTTTCGTTCATCCTTTTCATACTCATGAAACTAAATTATTGATCTTTTGATAGCTATTGGTTAAGTAACAGCCGGAGGAATGCCTCAATATACTAGCATCTTTGTAAATTATTTTATCCAACTGAATAGTTGCATTTGATTCTAGTCTGGAAAAAGCGACTCCTTGTAAAAGTTACTAAAATTTGGCAAAGTTTTCTTCGATATGTATTTCTCGATCTCATATTCCACGATAAGGCATATATGGTATCATAAGCAAAATATTATACCTCCCTGCTTTCAAAGCTATTCGTGACCTGTCGAAAACTCATTTTCATAGATATTCTATCAATTTTGATCTTTTGAAATTCCACTCACAACAAGAAACATAAACAATGCAGAAATAAATATAAACATGACATTTTTATAAACAAAAATATGAGGATATTTAAATTTGTTGGCTTTAAACGTTAAAGAGTTGACTTCGCCAAAATTTGACGTTTGAACATAAACAATAACGAATGTTGCTTTGTCTTAGAACAATGCAACTTGACCTGTTATAAAATTCCTTTGTTCAAGTCTTTTTCTCGTCAAGGTTTAGCGAAGCCTAGGGGGAGCAGGCGTTGTACATAAAATATTTTTATAGCTTTTCTGCCTGCGCAGGGTTATTATAGGGGGCGTATGATAAGGCTGTGATGCCACTGAGTTGGTGGCAAAACTAAAGTTAACTAAACTTTCTTGAACTGCGAGCTGTGTAGGACGCTGTGCAGTAGCGGCGCCACGGGGGGACTGGGGGCACACGTCCCCCCAGTTCTCGGCAGGATCAATTTTGCATTTCGTCTAAATCCGATGAGAAAATGTTGGGGGAGGGGTAATATTTTGGCAACGTACTTTTTGTGATGTTATCCTATGATTTTCAAACTGCCTTCACATAGCCAAAAGTGAGTAATGGGCGTTCCCTTCAGGTAAAAATTGCGTTCCTTGTTAGTAAAAGGGGGTTTTCTGGTGCTAAAAGGGGCATGGTCTAAAATATTTTGTTTTGTCCCCCCAGAGCGTAGTGGCTGGCGCCGCCATTGACGCTGTGGGGTTGTAGGGGATCTTGTCTTGTTTTCCGATTGTGTATCTTATAAGAACTTAATGAAACGAAGGAAAACAAGACTTTTTACCACATTGATAACAAAGTTGAGTGTTGATGAAGACACAGTAGCGCATAAGATATATTATTTTGTGTTTGCTATGTTATGTTATGTTATGTTATGTTATGTTATGTTATGTTATGTTATGTTATGTTATGTTATGTTATGTTATGTTATGTTATGTTATGTTATGTTTGTTATGTTTGTTATGTTATGTTATGTTATGTTATGTTATGTTATGTTATGTTATGTTATGTTATGTTATGTTATGTTATGTATGTTATGTTATGTTATGTTATGTTATGTTATGTATGTTATGTTATGTTATGTATGTTATGTTATGTTATGTTATGTTATGTTATGTTATGTTATGTTATGTTATGTTATGTTATGTTATGTTATGTTATGTTATGTTATGTTATGTTATGTTATATGTTATGTTATGTTGTGTTATCCTATGTTATGTTATGATTCATGACCACTAAATTTTGTAGAAGCACAACTGTATGTATGTAATTTTAGCCTTTACTAAGTTGTAATTTGGTTCGTCATAATGACATTTGTCAAAGTGATCTCATCGACTCTAGCCGCTGTCTGAATGGCCTCGTAACCATACTCTTCGAAACCGAAAGAGAAATGAAAATACTAACTATGAAATCTCGTTGCGGAGATCGCGTAGTTGAAGTCTTGCGCGCCGTAATGCGTGTAAGGTAGGAGTTGTATTAACTGGACAGTAACAATGAAAAGGAAAATGGTGCTCAGAGAACACTTAAGAAGAAAGGTTAGTTTATTGGCATTGCTTGGAAATGACTAAATATTCAACATTTTTAACATTTCCAGTCATTACACAAACGCAAAAACTATTTCTTGGAATTATAAGCAAACAGAAGTGTGCTGTCTCGTAACATGAAATTGCTTCAATAAAATCCAGGGCTTCCTCCGTGAACAGATTTGTTGAGTATTCTTAACGTATCCATGCTAAACTTTGTCGGTGTTTCTCAAACCAACCCACAAGAGTCACAGATCAAGAATAATTATTATTAGCAAGGGGTTTTTGGGAAACTGAACAACTGTCACGCACCAGTTGAATACGACTTGCACACTTTATCTCAAAACTGAGTATTCCCCCTTGAGAAAGTCACTAGGAATATGACAAGTTTTTATATCGCGAAAAAATAATTTATCAAAAGTAACCAAATTGAAAAGGGTTGGGCGATAGGCGAAGGGCGAATGGCGATGGGGAATGGGTGATTATTTGGTGATAGGCGATTGGCAATGGGTGATAGGCAATGGCTATGGGTGATAGGCGATGAGTGATAGGTGATTTGCAATGGTTGGTAGGCGATCCGCTAACTGAAACATCTTTCTTCAACAACCTGCCCTTTACGGTACAGATCATCCAAGAATGCAAATCAGTTCAAAGTTCTTATAAAAATTTGTTATTTCGAAAAAAATGCACCTGTAACGCTTGCAACCATATTTTCCGTAATGCAATCTCTAAAATTGCTTCATGTTGGTCAGGGCCGTCGCGAGGCAAGCCTTGTTGCCCCCAACACGGTGTGGATTACAAATTTACCTACCTCTGCAATACATTTTGCCCTGTCACAAACCTCTGCAATACATTTTGTCAATCTAACTGTGTGGCATATAATTCACAACATTCATTTTGAAATAATAATAACGGGACTTTCCTGATGGTTTTGGCAAATCTGTATACAGGGACAGGCAACTACCCGAGGCGGCACCATGGTTGCCGCGGAAGGAGCAGAAATTTTTCGAATTTTGATGCTTCCAGTTCCCTGGAAAATGCACTCTTTTCAGTGAATTTTACTAAAGCAATCCTCCTAATCCTACAGAAAAGTTTACTAAAGCAAACAATACATGAAGGTCGCTGAAATACCTAAAGCGTTTCCTCCACTGAACGGATCTTACCTGAAATTTCCTATCGAGATACTATTGGGGGGGGAGGGGGTTTAACTCTATTGTTAAACTAACAGTAAAAAGGGCATGAGTCGTGGTTTTATTCATCAATATCTGTTACTGTTCTAGAGTATATACTTGAAGCCATAACAATAACAGTCCCCTCCCCCTTCCTGAACAAGAAAACAAGCGACTGTCCTGAAATCCTGCCAGATTACAAAAAACAGGCTTAAAGGTTGTTTTCCACTAAGCGGAAGACTGCGAGCGGTCCGCTTTGCACGCTCATCGGACATGCGCATTGGTAAGCTTAGTCCAAATCAAGCGGAGATTTCGAGCACGCTGAAAAGTAGAATCAAGTTCTACTTTTTGGGCGGACCGAGTGGAAATTGTGTTAACAATGGATGGAAGCTTGGTTCCCCTAGATCTGCAATCTGTTATTGCAACAATGATAAAAGCTCAAGCATCGCAAGGATCACCTGGGCCTTCGTCGTCAGATGCAATGTCATCTCAACAAGCCACATACTTGCAACAAGAACCTCTGTCTGATGAGTTGCCTAGGACAGTTACTGGGGAATTTGATGTGGAAATTTTTATCGAAGAACTTAAGAACTTCCCATGCTTGTGGAATACTTCACTGAGAAGCTATCACGAAAAGCACACAAAACAAAATTCCTGGATGGTTCAATCGGAGAAATTTGGTAAAAATGGTAAGGATGGAGTTGCTTTGTTTCAGTAGTCATCTGGATTTCTCCAGGAGCATCCCAGGAACACCTATACTATTTGGGGTTTGCCTATTACTGTTCTGCAATGTTGTGTGAGAATCCACAATCAAAAAATTCTTTATTTCTTTGAAGATTTGCTTTAAACTACTAGGAAAGGGTTAATTTTTGAAAAAAATAAACCTTGAATTAAACTTGACATTTTTTCTCTAGTTGATTTTCTCAAGATACAGTTAAAGTATCTAAAAGATAATTTGAAACGATGTCTGGACAAAAGAAACAAGGAAACAAGATCTGGAGCTTCACACACAAATTTGCCAAAATGTAAATATTTTGATCAGCTTTCATTCATGCATGACAAGGTTTCTAGTCGTCAGACAGAGAGCAATGTTTCACTTGAACCAACCGAACCAACCTGTTCAGAATTAACAGACAGAGATGTTTGTCCAAGCACAGATTTATTATCAAAGGAAGAGCCTGTAAAAAGGAAAAATTTAGAAATTCCAAATGGGAAGGGGAAAAAGGCAAGACAAGGTTTGGGATAGGCAGTTGATGCCATGTTATTATCAACTATCAAGGATATGTCACAAAATGAGAAAAAAAATACTGAGACATCCATTAATGAAGATGCTGATTCCCTCTTCTGCAGGAGCTGTGTTGCCACCCTGTAGAGACTACCTCCAAAGAAGAACAGTGAAGCCAAAATGAAAATTCAGCAATTGCTACATAATATTGAGTTTTCAGACTAAAGCTTTGAAACACCAAATTTATTTGTATCATAAACTGATTGTTATCTTTTGACTAATTTTACTTACCATAAATTCTCTTTTAAATCCCCTCTCAGTTAAGCCCCCTCTCTCCTATTAGCCCCCTTTTTAAAAGCAAAAAATTTAGAAGCCCCTCACTCTATTAAGCCCCATCCCCCAAAAGCATTGAATAGTGTCATAAATAAGCTTCAAGAAAGTAGTTGTAGTTAGCCTGATCACACTCAATAGACAACAGTTTTCAATAAAGTGCACTACTGAGAATTTTATATATTTGAGAAATATATTTAGCCCCCTCTCTCTTTTAGGCTTCCCTCTTTAATAAGCCCCCTTTAGAGTGCTTGAAATCAATAAGGCCCCTGGGGGGCTTAGTAGAGAATTTATGGTATTTGCTATAATAATACTGTTCTGTTCACATTTTGTGCCAAAAGTATACAGAGATGTTCTCAAGGTCAGAATAGAAGACAACTAAGGCCTTTGCTTCACAACTATATTTTGCAAGCACCCCCCCCCCCACCTTAAAGAAGGAGAAAATATTTTGAACCCCCTAATTTGCCACAGTGACTATGAATAAGATCACTATCTATAGAATTTATAAGTATGACCAAAATATATAGATACAATATTATATATAGATATATGATATAGTTAGAGAAACATACCCCCACTTGGCATTGCATTGTGCACCCAAAAGGGTTTACTCCACTATTTGAGAAGAACTGTCTTTTGTCTAATTTGGGAAAGAAGAAAAAAGCTAATATGGCTATGCTAGTCTAGGCTACAAAATTCTGTTTTTCAAAGCCTCCAAAACTTCAAAGTAATTGTTATGTTATCAAGCAGGTCAAATTTCTTAAATAGTAATGTTCTTCTTAGGAATTGTTCAAGTAATAAATGGAGGGAGCTGGTTTTTGTGTCACTTATATGAAGAGGGGGAATTTACTCTAAACAAGAGAGTCTGATAGCATATTTATGGTTATTTTGAAGATATTTCAATAAAATGTTGGAGATTATCCAGTTTATTCTTCATCAAATCTCTTAGCAGTTGATCTGACTGTTTGCCATTGCCAACTAAGGGTGCCCTCTTTGCAAAAATAATCTTTGAAGTCATCTCTAACTATTTTAGCTTCCTTTGAATAGTTATTGGAACCTTGACTTTGGATCTCTATTAAGCCTTCACAAGACTGGGCCTCTTCTCTCCACATTCCAACGTCTTGATCCCTATCTACAAAATTTGAAGGACAGTATATGCATCTGTCAGTCTCATCCAATGACATCAAAAATTGTGCAAAGCCACAATGGCTTTCGTTATAGCAATGACAGTGTCAACCTTTCCAATTACAG